TATCTGGCCACGGAGGTTGTCGACTAATACCATTCGTCTTTACATTTAATATTGATATTTGTATATTTTTGTTTTAAACTAAAATGCAATTGCTTAACTCACCTTACTGGCAAAGCAAAATAGAGATAGAATGGTTATCTGCCGGAAATGTTACGTTTGCTAGGGATTGCTATCTCGAAAGAATTCATTAGTATAGGTACAGTAAAATAAATGTGTGGTTCTTTTTCAGTAAACAGCTTAAAACCCAACAGTTTAAGCTAAAAAAACAACAAAGTGAAGACTCGAATTTCCTTGCGCTTCGCTTCTGTGACACGTCAAACCCTTTCACAATACAATTGTAATTTTCACATAGCCCTCAATATCAGTAAGTAGGTGGCCCTGATTGTAGCCCTCGGCTCACACGCACTCACTACTGACTTCCGTACAGAGTCAACACACACAACACCGTGACTGTGAGTTCACTTCATTATGCTAGCGTCTTTTGTCCCTTAATTTATCAGTCACTCTCCGATTTGGTCTCGCGTGCGTTGAATTCGCGTGACGTTGATCAATGGACAAGTGATGATGGTTATCTTGTGGTGGCATATGGTATCTTCATGATTTACGCAGTTTGTTTATTAAGTTACTAATATTCATAAAAGTACTATCTGGATGTATAATAGCAAACATGGTATATAATTCCTAGTGCAAAAAACAGTCTATTTGATTTGAAAAGCTAGTTTTTAACTCCTCCTAGTGGTTTATTTTCATGAAAATTCATATCTCTGCATTGTGATGACAAAATCTACGGATTGCGTTCGAACCTTCGATCAATTCAATCTGAAGGTTATGATTTGATGTGGGCTTCAAATTGTTTCTTTTCTTATCCATAGAAATAACTTGTAAACATAGGTGTCTAGTGTTGATTTATATTTGTTTATAATATACAGCCGGAAGTTTAATAGATCACAAGGACTCTTGAAAAGTGTGCGATACGGCAAAATGTTTTCAATCCACGACCACGAACTGTTTATTAGCTCAATGCAAACGCCATTATCAAGGTCTTTGACTCAGTCCGGTTTATTTTAGACACTCGCGAAGTTCGTTTATCTTTGTTGACAAAACAACATTCGAGATGATTTTGTATCGTCTATTTTCGTTTTTTGACTTGGTAACGATTAGGATACATTGATTTGATAAACTAATCAATTGTTAAGTTTCAGTTAATTTGATAATAAATATTACCAATACAGTATAGTGGGTCGGTGGACTCAGGGTTCGATCCAATGAGGGGCTAGCCGGGTTTTTGCCGAGAGCAGGAAAAATTAGGGGCGGCAAAATTTACTCAGAGTCAGCCGTAAAGTACATCACTAAAGGGCGGCAATAATCTTTGCCCGGAGCGGCAAAATTTCTAGATCGGGCCCTGGTAAGACTCCTTCTCCTAACTCCTTTTGCCTTGTGGCCCGAGCTTCACCTTTAGATGGGTTTATTAACATCTCTAACGTTAATGTGATCTATAAATGTGGACTTTTATATATACGCTTAAAATCAACCGATTTAAATATTAAACCAATAAAACAATCCGTCTCAATAGTTTCACAACCAATAGTTATATTTCTTTCGTCAAGTTAATAAACGTAAAAACTAAATTTTTATGAATTGGTTGGAAATTGTTACCGGATTTTTATCGGGTTTTATTTCATTCATTAAGAATAACTTCCATAGTCTTTATCCATACTTCAATGAAGGCAGGCCTGTTACTCAATGGAATTTCAATGAGAGACAGCAGATCGTCACTTGTCACAGTTCTGGAAAACAACATAACCTTTGCTGTTAAAGTACCAATGATGCCAAACCATTAATTAGATAAGTACATTATTACATTACATCTTGCCTATTCGGCCCTATACTCAGGTAAGTGGAAACCATAGATCTTAACGTCAATTTGTTTTTCGGTGACCAAAGCGCTTACAGTAGTCTTTGGAACTCCTCTCTCCGTAATGACTTGCAGTGGAGGGATATGAATAGGAAAACCGCGTAAAAATAACAGGTTTGCAGTACTAATTTACTGAGTTTCTTTTACAGTGGGTCTTAATCAATTTCAGGTTGTTATGTGAAAATCTAATAAAATCTCTACGTGCGTAACCAACGCTATATTACAGGTAGGTAGCCGCTATGGTATTAAATGACGCAAAAATGAATGTATCCTTATCAGCTAACACGCAACGTTAAATATTACATAATGCACTCCTGCGTCAATCGCATAAACCATGTTGGCAGATTTATATTGATACGGTAGCTCAAGTATTAGTTACTTTACTAGACTTGCATACGGCTGGACTGGTACGAAAAAGTGTCGACACGGCGGATGTTATATTTTTTTTTACTCAAAATTCTTTCGTAGCTCCCCGATATATGTTCACTTTTATCAACAAAAAAAACTTTATACTATAGTCCGTTCTAAACATGTTTGTATCAAAAGTAACAAAGAACCAAACCATAGACAGCTTAGTGACAGGAATTTATAGAATATATTTATTATAGTTAATAGATCAATAATATGATCAGATTCTTCAAATATCATCATTCACCTACGGTTGCTAATTGAGCGATAAAGTTTTTGTTTACATTTGCTCACAAAACGTTTGAAACTGACGGAATATGTAAACATATTAAGAGTTCAATCACCTAAACAATTACTATACGTTGGTTCCTATATCGGTCATTCTGACGAAAACACATCACTGACTGGCGCGTGACGTATTTGTTATTTATAAGCTCAAGCTCAACAAAGTAATGATACCATTCATACAATACTTGTCGATTTATTTCAGCCTCTACGCTCTTATCGTTCAATAATAATAGGAGATTTATTATTAAAATATATGGAAATTCATTATTAAACTCCTGAATTTAGCTTTTAATTTTATACTTTTTATTGTAATATTTATTTTTAAACCAATTTGAAAAGCTTGCATAGAAATCTAAGTATGACAACAGTCTATGTTATGTATGAGTTATAAGTATTAAAAACACCTATTATTTGCGATACGATGTTGTAGGTACATAAGATACCAATATGACTTTAGAAGAACGATCTGAAATAGATATGTCATCATTTGATCATCCATTTAAGTCGAAATTTACGTTTTGGGAACTTATTTTACCCCCCTTAAGAACTAAAATAGAACCTTTAAACTTAGAACCGGAATAGAAAATTTGGGGTAATTTAATTCCAAACAAAAAAATTACTCCTCGTGTAGTATTTTAAAATGAAAATATTTTGTCACATGACACTCCCTTTCGTACAATAGTTTCATCCTATAAAAACATATTTCTTACATTATTTGTATACAACGGATACAGTAATTCTGACTGCATTACCTGCACGTAAATTCTCAGAAGATTTCAAAGAGAAAGTTTCGCCATAAACAAGTGAATGATATCCTGTACCAAGCTTTTAAAAAAATGGCGGTAGCACTCCGGGAGTGCCGTCATAACTGAAAATTCAAATCTGAAAAAAAGTAAGCAACATGTGGACAAAAAAAAGAATAAAAATTACTCTAAAGAAGTTTTTACTTCAAAAACTCAATGTCTAACGTTTGTCGTATTAAAAGGGCCATAAGATCGATATCCATATTTCATTACGATAGGAATATTTATACAACCCTTTCCGAATTCTACTTCTCAAATTATTTATTGTCAAAAGCTACATAGAAATTCCTTGAAATCAAGACTCAAGGTCACAAGAGCGGCCTTTACCCCCGATTTCTCCTAGACAACCTCTGTATGAAAAGCAATTAATAATACAAAGTCGCAACACCGTTATTAACAATTCCAAAATACCATAATGTCTATCATACCATGACACTTGTCGGTTCTATAACGATATGAAGTGTACGTCACTGATTCAAAAGCGCAACAAAACACGTCATACACATCATAATCGCAATACGTGTTCCATTCACGTAGATGTGGCGTGTAGCAAAATACGTAGGTGGCGTACGCGCCAATCCCGCCAAAATGAAATTTTAACAGCTCCGCTATCAGTACCATAAATCAGTTCGTAACCGAGTGAAAAATGCAGCAAGCTAAATATAACAGGGAGACGCATGCGCCGCGTAGTAGTACGCTCAATGCCATGAAATGCACTGACATTGAAATTACAAATGTGATCGTTCGAGTCAGGAAAAAGAAGTACAACTAAAATGCACGGAGGCTACCCTTTTATTTCTGGGCCATATTACGTAGAACAACCTGAAAAGACACCAGGTTACCGTAAGTTATAAAATGAAAATATTGGCTTGTAAAAAAGTTTTAATGTTTTTATTACTACTTTGCTAATAGAATATACATATACAATTTTCAAGGGTAACCTTCTAAAGGAAATACAATTAATATTTTCTAATTACTCTAGACATATTTAAAGTCGTAGAAGTATAAGGATATGTTCAAAATATAGATTCATATTTATCAATATTCACTTACTGCAATAAATTTGTAAATAAATACGAACAAAGTAATTATAGTGTTAAGTGTTTGGTGTTTTTACTTTTATTACTTTTTTAAAAAAATTGTCCATTTTAATAGACATACAGGATAGCGATCGGTATTACTATTAAGATTCCAGTAGTTGCTGTAAAAACTAGGAGGTCAACCGAGCCACTAAATCTTAGTAATTGTAACGAGGGTCCCCGAACTTCAATTATGTTTGTAAACAAACTTTGTTTTTCCGAAAACTCTACTCGCTTTAACACCGAATTATAATTATGCAGAACATAATTAATCTACTTTATATTATTATAAATATGAAACTTTGTTTGTTTGTTACAACTTAACTTCGTTTGATTGAGACATAGGATTTTCAAAAAAATAAAGTTAACGCGGATTAAGTTTCGGGCGATAGTACACAAAATATTTGTAAAAATGAAATCTTTACTAACAATAGCTAGTAAAATAAACTGCTATATTTTCATATTTAGACAATAAATGTTAAAGTAATTTATTATCTTTGTCCACAGGAATAATGACACTCAGCCGCGGCCCGTGTGACTTGGACAACATGAGTCTGTTCCAAGACCTCAAGCTAAAGAGGCGGAAAGTTGACTCCAGATGTAGTAGCGATGGTGAGTGAAATTAACTATATATTCTTTTAAATTTTACTTTTCTAAAAACAAGTACAATATAAATAATCTCACACTTAGATGGGTAAACAATAGGTACTCTAAGATTAACAATTTTGAAGAATCGTCTGCAGTGATATACCGTAGGTAATTCAGATAGGTAAACGTTTTTCCATTTTCGACTTTAAAGACTCTCATCATCATCAGCCTATTAATGTCCCCACTGCTAGGGCACAGGCCTTTCTTATGGATGGAATAAAAAGATTAGACCATGACCCACCACGCAGGCCCAGTGTGGATTGGTGGATGCTGACGACTGTAGATGCAGCCGGGACCAACGGCTTAACGTGCCTTCCGAAGCACGGAGGAGCTCGAGATAGTAAATTTTTGGTCATCAATCCAATGACCGACCACTGCGAAAGTTGCTTAACTTCAACGATCGCAGCCGAACGCGCTAACTAATTGCGCCATCGAGCTCCTTAAAGACTGTATTTGATCCTGAGATTTGTTTTTTGATTTGAAGATTACACGGACTAGGCAGCCGACGGGCACCCATCGCTATCCGGGCGTATACACTGACCATTATAGTACCGCGGCCCTGATGGCCGTGTCTAATTTTCTGTAGCCATTCTTAGGCTGCAAGGCAGTACCGTCCCGTCTGCTGCATGGCCCGCGTGGAGGTTTTTCTAGTTAAATTTTCATTAGATTTAAACATTTAGCAGTTAAATGTTTAAAAATATAAATATTCGATTCTTTATCCATAACTAATAATATAATAAAATTCGTCTCTGCTTAAATTCAGTTAGTATTTACATAGCAAATAGAATTTGAAACTAAACCTTATAAGATAAGAAACCAGTTTAAAATGCTAACGGCTCCTAACTCAACTCTCATTGATACACAAGAGTTGTAACTTCCACGTTTGGACGTTTGAGGTAAATATAGAGAGAAAAAAACAAACAAACATAAATCTCGCACGGTATAAGTATAAAGCTGCTTAGAATCTTAATGATCTCTAAGCAGCAACAGGTACTTATAGACTTCAAAGTCGACTGTAGTTAAAGTTTATTGGCATTCGATAAGGCACGCCTGAGGTTGTCTAGAGGCAACTCACGCAACTCACGGAGCGCTATCACTTTTGATAAATACGAAAGCATTATTCTTCGTTAACGTAATTTTCGATTCATTGGAATGCGTATAAAATACATCATCGGACAAAGTATGTTACTATTAAAATAATTCAAACAAACATAATAGTAACAAACACTCTGTTTATTTAAAACAAGATCTTTAATTTCATTACTTTTTAACCGACTTCCAAAATTCGACAGTTTTTCTTTTAATATATGTATCACATAATAACATTTATGTAATAAAACTAAATTTATTGTTCACAAAATTTTATTTGTTTACGTCATAAATAAAAAAGGGCCGAAAAATGTTGTTGCGTAACTTTATCCTCTACGAGTATGAATAATTTGATTAGTATATTATCACTATTACACAACAAGGCAGAAATTTAAATCAGTACATATTTTATAACCAAAAACCATCTGCGGTAAGTTGGATAACAAACGGGACCGTGATACAGCGTGAGAAAGTAGCAACTGGTCTGCGGAACGACCTCGCGCACTTTCACTCAACATTTTGGTGCATATTAAAGAAATGCGCCGAAAACAGAACCGGTGATTCGGCGCACGAGACCTGTTCTATTATGTTATAATGAATTATGGTGAAAAATTATGTTTAGTGTTCACGTAATTTAATGTCAAGGTATGATAGCCGTAGCCTCAATATTTTTGTACTCCCGTAAAGTGCTTCACTACGATTTCACTAGATGCGAGTATTAGAATTTTCCAAAAGATTCAAGAAAATCAGTTTCAGTTAGGAGCATAAAATTCGTTACTTTATATCTAAAAAACTTAAAAAAAATAGATTCTGGCTCACTTTGTGTGCTTTACCTGTTAAGCTGCATTTTCTTAACTTTGAAATATTTTCAATTATCCTCTCTTAATGGGTTTATTTTTTACCCAGTCCGCATAATCAACACTACTTAACTTTGAACTGTCTGGGATGGTTTTGTGAATTCGATATCTCCAAAAGAAATCATAGAACAACACATAAATTAAAATAGTCGCACGGAATTACGCAACTATGACGCAGCGTGAAGTCACGATGATAAAGAAAGTTTACGTAAAGCCGGCGAGAGGTGAAAGTAATAAATAGTGCCGTAATTATTGCGATTGTGGGCTCATGAATAAGTCATGAGCGAGGCGAGAGAGATGCTCTCTGCCACATGCGAAACATTCGTGTTACGGTTTGCGTAGCGACGCTATTACAGTTGTCTCTGTTACAACGAAAAAGAAAAACACGACACCTAATTGACATCTTAATGCGTCGATGGGAACTTCCTTTTAATAATGGTAATATCGATAAACACATCTGACTGTTAAAAAAAGTGTATACATAATTATGTATTTTAGTATAATGCCCGTGTTGTAAGTAAGTAAGCGGAGGTAATATAAGTAATAATAGTATTTTTGTATAAAGCAAATAAAACCTCATTTTATTTGGTATCCAAACCCCTTCCAAAATTTATTATATCTAGGTATTATTGTTTGAATCGTAGATTTGAATAAATTTGGTCGATGATACATAGAAAAATTTGGCTGTTTAACGGGAATAGTACTTTGGTTACTTACCCTCAAGTTACATGTAATAAAGACTAAAATGTTGTAAAACGCTAATAAAGAAGCCTCTTTTTTAGCTCTCGAGCATAGCAATTTATCACAAACAGCAAGTTGTTATCTAAAAATAGAGGGCAAGTCTATATTTATCGCGTACCTACATCGTTTGGATCTAGATTTCGCATACAGTGGCGTGTGGTCACGCGTATATGACGCAGAGTGACGTGGTGCAAGAGCACGGCGTCATCACCGTGACGCCCCTACACCGTCACTTAATTAACTGTACCATTACATACTTAATTACCTTTTCAAACAGTAAACAAAACATTAGAAACCATGTAACCTCAACGTCTACGAGGCAATGACGGCTGATTCCAAATATATATATGTTACGTCCCCTTTTCTTAGACGACTTGTAAAGGCGAAATTCATTACGCACGCTCCCATACACGGCACCGTATGTATTCTTAACGTTTTTTTTTTATTTCAGTCGATATTCCTTTAAGTAACTATGTCTCTCTTTAATACTAAAAAGAAAAAGAGACAAAAGATGTAGTTCTAATTTTCAAGCATTGCACGTAGCGGCAGTTGGAAATGCGCGCCATTTTCTACTTAGAAAAAATTTGCTTAATTAATTATATGTTTTCTCGCAAATGTACTGAAAAACGTTGTATGACATTCGTGCGGATAGTATTACAAACTCGTGGCTATGGTAAGCCCTCGACTTATTCGTCTACTCTTTGTAATAACCAACTTACCGCACTTGTATCATAATTAACTAAATCTTACCAATATCGACCTAAGCAAAAAAAAATTAAAAGGCAAAAGAGGATATTATAAAGACTGGTCTGGAAATTGGAAAATATATTTTCCTACAAATTGTTAAACCAATAGCATTCAATGAAGTAGTTCAATAATGTGTAAACATTTCAAAAATCTGTTTACCTAGTTTTATTTTTTTAACATAATTTTCATTTTCCTCCGTCGTACATAGTCTACCTGGAAGAGATTGGTTCTTAGCATTATGGCTGTTTATTGAATTTGCTATTGTTACTGTAATTTATGTCCTGTTTTGATTGCATTAAATTATAATACTTTCAATAAATGCAAATGCTACTTGATAAGAAATTGTATGGTGAAAAAAGGGTCCATCATTCCAGCGTGATTAATAATAAATTCCTGAAAACTCTCCTTTCAATTTTGTATCAATTATTAGGTTGGGGAAAAATTTCTTCGTATTTTATATGAAAATTCAAATCAAATTTAAAAAAGGTAATTTACATTTAACTAAAGTATGTAAGTGCCATTTTGTTCGATAACTTTTTGCCATCTTGTAGGTAGGAACATGATCCCATTGCTATAGAAATATTGGTGCTTCTGGTTTTGGCAGGCTCGTGATGTTAACCTGACAATGCTGACTAAGTAATTTTGAAGTGACCGTAACAGGTGGAAATCTGAAGGTACAAGGTCAGGACTATATGGCGGGTGCATTAACACCTCCTAGTCAAACTATAGTTTTAAAATGTATCGAATTCCTTTATTAGAGTGGCTAAAGATTTGTGTCTAGCGTTACCATGATGAAAAACCACACCCCTTCTGTTGATTAATTACGGTCGCTTTCTCTCTTTCTCTTTCTCTGCTCATAATGAATAATGCCATTCCAATCCCACCATACACATCACCATGTTGCGAGTAAACCCGAGTGTTGCGAGGTTTCGCCAGAGACTGTGAAGCCTGCCTGCCTTTGACCACGACCTTTTTCGCACGTTCTTATAGTACGGGATCCTCTTTTCATCACCAGTTATCAGCTTCTTCAAAAAAGATTCGCTTTTATTACGGCATAATAAACAATCACAAATATGTACACGGTTCATTAGGTTTCTTTCAGTGAGCTCGTAAGTCACCCAAATATAGAGCCTTTTGTGTATCCAGCTTTTTTGAAATGCTCCAAAACTGTTTTGTGGTCAATTCCCCAGTTCTTTAGCTACGTCGTAACTACTGATATGCCGATTTTGCTCCACTTTTTCATAAATGCCATCCACTTTATCCGTTACAGGCTTAGATTAAAACAAAAAGGGTAGATGCGGTACGCTCATACTTGCACCAAACAAAAACTGATCCCACGGCAGCACGAACGGGACGGCGAGATCCGCGTCACTGCATTACCGACCCGAGCGAAACAACACGTTAAGTTTCAACGGCAGCGCGAACGAGACGGCGAGATCCGCGTCACTGCACTACCGACCAATCACGCGCCCAGTACTCGACGTCACTACCGAATAAGATTCAAAACAAACAGCAATTTTTATAAAAATATATATTTTATAGTACTTACGAATGAAAAGTGATGCCGTGGGTATTTTTAGTTCTTGAGCAATTTAAGCATTTTTAAAAATATACTTAGGCATTGTTTTATCATATAAACACAAAATATTATCAATATTTCTTTTTGGCGTTCACATGTACGTCGTTTGCATGTCAAGTTGTGACTTAAGCGATTAGGGTCGTGGGCCACAGTTTGTGAGGCTAGTGCCGTATCTACCCTTTTTGTTTTAATCTAAGGTTACAGGGCGGCCAGGGCGACGTGCATCTTTGACATCAAAATTTCTGGATTGAAAACCTAAACCAAATTTGTGCTACTCTCTTAGACATATTGTTATTATACCGATGGACTGCACTAGGTCCATAAACAACACTTGCTTTTTTGCTGGCTTGCTTTGTATTTATTTTTGTAGTAAAATTTTAAAATGTTTCGAATTTCTTCATTAGATTCCCTCATCTTGACAGTAAGAAAACAAATGAAAATCACACATTTTTCTAATTTGAATTTAGAATTATCGTTTTTATAATTTAAACTTTTTAATAATACCAGAAACCAGCCAGATACAAATCGTATAGCCAAAGAGATTTTATTACAAGTTCCTACGTACTATAATGCGAAAGACTTTTTTCGCCAACCTATTATTTAATGTCAAGCTGATTAAAGCTCCTTCTAAGGAATCTTATATCATATAAGATATATAAAGTTTTTATTTTTGTTGTACTATTCATTCAGTGAAAACAGTAAAAGAATTCTAGGTCAAAGAATAATACTTCTTAATAAATCAGTAAAATATAAGGTTTTTGTTAATGAATAACAGATCCTAAAGAAATATTTTTCAAGAATAATTCATTATTATTTCCTCAACCAGCAACTCAGTCTTGTGCAAGTGAGACATTGCTCTACGCATTGTAGAATGCTATCTCGCTTCTTTCAAGTTACGGCTTCAGGTGTTTGCAAGAGGTTCGTGATCAATAATTTTCAACCTACCTCAGCATGTTCAAACCTATTTTAGTTATTTAATATGGCTAAATTTAAATTAACTAAGCCTATTATTAATCATTATTTGCATATATTTATTCGTTGTGTTTTTGTAGTGTATTCACTTAATTAAATATGGAGTTCCGAGTATTGAAATCTCATAACATGTTAATATTGACGTAGCGTGATTTACATGGGGTGGACCTAGCCAGCGACACGTGGCGCCGCGGCGGTGGCGGGCGACCAACAGGGCGAGGGTGTGACCTATTTTCCTCAGGTTCACTGACCGAGCGTGACCTTCGAGCTTGCAACGATCGAATAAAAGATTGCTTGCTACCGCGCCGCCCCAAAATAGAAGAGTTGCAAATTGCGTAATCCATTTTATTGTTGTCTGTCTGACGCTCGAGGCTTTTTATGCAAATCGCTATTTATTAACAGACTGCTGATTATAAACAAATGCCTATTAAACTGTGAGGAAATCTTTTGTGCGGCTAGTCTGATAATATGCAATCTGAGCGTCCGTCGTGCGTGTGACATATTGTCGTTAATTCACTTTCCTCGTCCACCGGTATCTGGTTACTGACATAACGTGGAACGATCAAACGGGACATTCGACTAGGCGACGGCCAAGCCTACCTAGAACCTATTGCATCACGCGGCTAGAAAGATCGGTCCCCACCAATGATGTGGCAAAGGACGCGGAGTGAAATAGAGATCGTCCTCGTAGCGAGAGCGGTGCACGCGTTGCACTAGTCATTGTGCGGTTGCATTTCGCACGCACGGCCGCTTGAGTGACCTAATAGTGGCTGGAGGGAGGGACCGGGAAGCACCGCGCGGGGAGCGGGGCGCGGCTGCCGCTCGTGCGGTAGGTCGGGCTCACTGCGCGCGCCCGCCGCCCGCCGTCGCGCCGCCGCCTGTGGAAAACTTTCTTTGCGACTTTTCCTCCCGTAAACAATACGCAAAATTATTAACACGGCACCGCGCCCTTCGCGTCTTCGATCGTGGAAACGCCTCCGATGACCACAGTTAAACGCAAAAATATCGCGTTGATTATGCTTCGAGAAACAAACGTTTGTGTGATTATTAATTTGGCACTGATTTATTTGATGTCAATATACTGTAAACAGTGTTACAATGTTAACCGGCCGGATCATGTGAGAGGGTAAAGACTACGCCTATGGATTTAGTTATAAAAAGTCGGTAAAGTTTCTGATTTATTAAGTGCCTGTGATAAAGTTGTGTTAATTTTCCATTTAAAAGTTTACAATACGTTTTTGGATTCTAATTTTCTAAAAAGTTACTAATATATCGAAATCAGAATAAAGGAAAATAATTATTAAATTGGTACTTATTTTAATAAAGCGCTTAGATACGAGATGTTTATTTATATAACTGAAATACATAACAGTGACGTTGCGCCCTTTGTGGTATCGGAGCACAAGCGCACGCTTCCGGGCGCCGCATCTGCGCACGCGGTGCTTTCACTTTCACCTCGCGCGCAGCGCCGCATCTCGCATTCGCCCACACCGGCCCGTAACCACACTTCCTACATTTTCAATTTTATTCCGGATTATTACATAAACTGATAAATTACTGCTTAGTTTATTAACAAGCTGCGGTCTGAAGTTGATTTTCATAGGGTATGTGTAACTATGTAGTTATACTTAAGGCTGAAACACCTAAAAAATCTAACATTTACATTAGTTTAGGACCACCGCGGCGCTCATATAATGACGCAACCAACTAATCTAGTCGGCCACGTCGGGAAGTGCAGTGTCGCGTCCCCGCGTCGCGCCCCGCGCTTCTAACTACGATTATGCCGAGCGGTCGTTGACATTTCACCTAGTTTCTGTTTTCTCTTGCACAAAGTGTAAGGCATTCTGATACTTTACTAGGAACGTGGATTGTTTTTAATGTATAATATTTTGTTCGTAGGTGAGTCAGCTGCCGACACCAGCACGTCATCGCCGGACCCGGGCCCACCGTCGCCGCGCATGGCTGACGCGGGGTGCAGCACGCCGCCACACCCGCCGCCCGTGTTTGACGGCGGCGGCTCACCTTCGCCATCTCCCGCCTGCCACCCCACTGTCATTCGATCTGCGCCACCTTACTCCTGTATCAAGTTCGAGGGAGCGCCAGCTCCGATTAAGACAGAGAGCTCTCCGGCGAACAAACATGAAGCAAATGTTCCTTCTCAAATGTCTACCGTTAAGTTAGAAGGGACACCTTCTGAATTACCCCAGCCATACAGACCGCGTGTGGTTCCTCAACCACCTTCTAGTTCGCACGCATCCCTCGCGCCAAGTCCTTGGCCGTCGTCGGCTTGCATAAACGGCGTCAAGCCAGAATTAATTGGCGGACATTTCCCACCCCAGCCATTGGAACCCAAGAGTGGTGCGCGTGGTCCAACGCAATGGCGAGGAGCGCCAGCAGTAATAATGGGAGAATCGGGTGGTGTTCGAACGATGTTCTGGACGTTGCCTGCATCCTCGGCTACTGGTGAACCTGCAGCAAGCGCATCACATACACCAACTCCGCCTACTCCAGATCCTACAACATGCACGGAAGAATCCGCTGCGAGACTACTTCTTAATTTGGGTGGAGAGTTAAGGCGACCACGGGGGCCACCTTTGAACATGGAGCTGCTCTGGGCAGGTGACGTGTCTCAATTACCAGCTCATCAACAATTACATGCGTTGAACTTAAGTGCAGCAGCCGGCAGCATGCCAGGTGCCTCCGCTGTGGCAGGAGCAAGCTCGCTTGCATTACCAAGGCCCGAATTACGAACCTACGCGCCAGAAGCTGAACGCGATGAGGACGAGCAACCTATGATTTGTATGATATGTGAGGACAAAGCAACAGGACTACATTACGGTATTATCACGTGTGAAGGTTGCAAAGGTTTCTTTAAAAGAACTGTACAAAATCGACGTGTTTACACGTGTGTCGCTGATGGTGGCTGTGAAATCACGAAAGCACAAAGAAATAGATGTCAATATTGCCGGTTTAAAAAGTGTATTGAACAGGGAATGGTGTTACAAGGTAATTTATGATTACATATTTTTAAATTATTATTGTTTCCGAATTGTTGTGAGTCACGAGATTAGCTTTTAAATCTTAATAACTATATTCATTTGTTAGCTAAATTCTCTGATCAAACATTATAGAAATAGTGTAATAATATTATGAATTATAAAATTTTGTTTCTTGTTGTCCAGCTGTTCGTGAAGATCGGATGCCTGGTGGGCGAAACAGTGGAGCCGTCTACAACCTATACAAAGTTAAATATAAGAAAAAAAAGGCTGGGAAGGCGGCGACAACGACAAGTCGAGCGTCGCCGCCTGAAAAACCCAAGGAACCTTTACCACCTCTCCCACCGCACCTCGTCAATGGAACCATACTTAAGACTGCACTAACCAATCCTAGCGAGGTAAGAAAATTTCTATCACTGTTCTTAATTGATATTTCACTGTTGAAGATTGTCCAATTATAGCTAAAGAATAATTTGCAGGTTGTACATTTAAGAGCACGGCTTGAGAGCGCCGTGTCGTCATCGCGAGATCGTGCTATACCTCTAGAAAGAGCGTTACACATGATCCGAGCGTTGATTGACTGTGATGCGATGGAGGACATTGCCACCGTCCGGCACCTACCAGACCTATTACATGATACGTCAGAAATAGGCGACAAGCTCTGCAAGATCGGTGACTCTATCGTCCACAAGATGGTCGCGTGGACGAAAAAGTTACCTTTCATCATGGAGATACCCATGGAAATCCACTCGAAGTTATTGATGGAGAAGTGGCACGAGATCTCAGTCCTGACGACGGCGGCTTACCAAGCGATGCATGGGAAACATGCTCACGCGCCTCCATCGTCGGACCACGAACATGATTTTATGCAAGAGGTAAGAGTTAACTTATTTTTCGCCAGTTTGTCGCTGTTTCTATGCTTTTAGATTTCTCGTCGATTCTTGGTGTCGCCGAAGCACTTTTTTCTTAATATAAATAGTTTGATGACTTTATTGTTTTCGTATTTCTATGTTATATAAACAATGACTTTCGTTACATACCTAGACATCAAAGCAATGTTTGTAATATTGTGCAATATTTATTTATTCTTCGTGAAGCTACTTCACGTTTCGTTTAGCTGACTTAACGGGCTACAAATCTTAGATCGTGTTGGTAGTTGCTCGGGGCAGGTCACACTCTTAGACTTCCGCCACATGCGCCGGGGTGCATTACGTGAGCTGCATTGGTTGCGCAACCGCCGTAGAAAGTCGTCGGTCGACTCAGACTAGCTGCATTCGATCGCGAGCACACTACCTGCATAACCCGCAGTACCTATTTGAATCGTAAAATATAGAATGCCTAGAATTTCTAGTGCGGCAACGCATTGAATAGAAATCACTTCATAATTCTGATGTTGTTTGTAACAAACAGTTATATCGCTAAGAACGAAATAAGTAACGATATCCCCTCCGTCTACATATAAATTGTATTTCTAATTACCTATTGTTAATTTTTTTGAGGCAAATATAAGTATGATTTTTATACCGATTGCGTACAACTTAATAGCAAAAAGCAATTTCATTGTCTAGACCATTTTCTTCACTTACATGTAGAAGATTACATTAAAATATAAATAGTACCATTTCTAAGTACTTTTATAACTTCGTAGCATAATAACAGTCTATAACAACTTCTTAAAGAATCTTGGCAAGTATCGCAAAATGTGTAGGTAAAATAATTTCGAAATTTGGAAATCTAAGTTCATAATAGAATATTTATGAGCACTTCTAACTGTCACGTGCAATATATATTTCTAGCTGATCTGTCTAGATTTAGCGAACGTATGTTTCCATCCATAATACGAAAGACTGATTAACAGGTCCACAGGCAACAGTCCAAGCAACGCTCGCATGAATTATTATTGACACGCAAGTTCCAAAGAGCATAATTTATGGAATATGTCATAACGTTCGCACGGTTTCGTAATACTAAACTAGATACCGACGAATATCCAGCATCATATATCAATAGGCAAAATGAAGTAAATAGATATTGTTCTCGAGAGTTAAACTGGACCACGCGTCTTCTCTTGGACATGACTCACAAAATATTTTTGGCGAGAGAGTGTGGCCGACAAATTATTTGTTTTCCTTATGGAAGTTCCAAATACTTCCTGCACATGTTCACACACCAGTACCACTTAAATATATAGTGTAGAGACTTTATTAAGTCCATGTCGGAAAAGGAATATAGGTTTGTTAATTCATTGCACGCTAGCATCTACTGTTTATTTACCTGTAGCATTAGAACTCCAATAATTAATATGTGATTTATTAAAAGATTCTTTACTTGTTTGAAATTTTGTTTTTGATGGATCACCAGGTGAACGCGAATCTTCGGACGTTACAAAATTGCCTAACATCATTGATGGGGAGACCCATCACGCTGGAGCAGCTGCGGCTCGACGTGGGGCTGGTAGTTGAGAAGATGACGCAGATCACGTGTGTCTTTCGGCGCATCCAGCTCAGGATGGAGGAGTACGTCTGTCTGAAGGTCTACATACTGTTAAACCAAGGTAAGAAACATGGTATTGACAATCGACTTTTACTTATTTGTTAGCCACACTCAGAACTATTGTTTTATGAGCCTGAGTTACACTTAGTAAAATTTTGTCCTCCCCATCTGATTTTATGTGTAAATGAAGTCCAGTTGCAAAATTAACTGGTGTAACAGGAGAAAGTTTAGCCCCAGCTTTTAACAAAGCTTGCTCGTAGCCCAACAAAAGACTGCAAATGAACGTTTTCTCGGAATCCTTCCATCAAATATTATGAAAAGCAAATATTAATTGTACATTTAAAATGTACTGCTGTCTGCCCCTTCGATATTGCAGCAATAAAACCTAATTTAATGCTTCACAAGAATAGTCTATTAAGAATCTGTTAAATGTCAATACTAACTAAAAGACACTGAAAAAATTGTATTGTTTTTTTTCTATTAATGAAAAGCAGGTCAACGGCTTACAGAGTTGCCGAATCTCCGATTATAATGTCATGAGAAATCGTCCTATGATAATAGATTGACGTCACTCGAAAGTTACAGATAGTTTAAATTTTAAACAGTGTTAATTGATATCGGATAACCTTTCATTCAGGCTAATAGGTCGGTCGTTATTGAGATTATGCAAATATAGAAATTGTACCGTTTCCGCAATTAAATCAAATCTCTGAATAACGAACACAACTATTTGTTCCCGAGTCATGCGTTTACATAAATAGTGTATAAATCATAGAAAATATAAACAAACCTTTATTATGTATTTATATAAAAATATACTTATATATGTACAGTATATGTATTCTATCCGTTACCCCAGTATCGTGCTTACTTTGGGGATAGGCTAATTGGTGTGTGTGTTGGAAATATTTATGAATTTATTATTATCATAAAATCGATATCAAAAAAAACTTGTCTCGAGAAAATCTGAATCCTACGATACTTTTGAACAACTTAGACGGTGTTTAAATGAGACACTTCCTATTTTCCTAAAAATCAAACTGAGACTAACGGATAATATGATATTGGTCCATATCCATTTCATCGCTAGTTGGCACTATATCAAAACTGCGACACTGTGAGACTAATATGAATATATGTTGGTATGAATATATGATATATTACGTAAATAGCATCAGTTCAACTACACTCGCGAGCAACCAAATCGATTTTTGCAACGCAACCCCTATTTTCGCACACATACTTTGAACCTACTAAAAATATATATGACTAGATGAGCTGTCCGGATTTTCAACGTACAGCCAATGTTCTGAAATACGCTGTTCCTCCTTCATTTACCTTAAATAAATTTAAAAAGCAATATGCATTTGGCAATCAAACAATATGGCGTGGAAATATATTTAAATGTCTAATACCTACTGCTTTCATATTATATTTTGCATTATGAGTAATTACGTTGGTTTTTTCCTGATTCTGGAACCAACTATTGTTAGAAACTAAACTTTCTGTCCATTTGTGAACGGAGTGGTTAAGTTTCGCCTTTTTACACGTTAAGGTCGCCGGTTCGATCCCTGCACCGTAACAAATGTCCGCTGTTGAAATAGTTATTTGTTTCGAACCTAGGCGTTTGTGGCAATAAGTAGCTCTATTCTCGCGATTTCTATTTTGATATTACTTAATATAAGATCGCTAGTTAGTTCTTACATATATTATATCCATCTCTATTCTCAAATAGTTACAATATTAAAAATTAATTGACTTATTACAAAAAACAATAAACTAAATGTGCGTGCAAAAGAAAAAAAAGTTAAAGCAAAATACTGTACTTTTATTCTGCTTTATTTTTTTTCCTTTTGGGCCCTTTATATTATGACAATGAAAATATAGAATTTTTAAAACTAAAAATGTTTGCGAATATGAATTCTTACATTTTATGTTTTTTTAGTCATGCAGGTTAAATAAGAAGATTTTTATTAAATTGCGATAAATTATTTAAATTTTCATTAACATTAAAATCTCAAAATTCGTTTCATTGGCTTTCACTTTACTAATTCTAAGTAGTCAATCATTCATAATTATAAACTTTGAGCGCCAGCGAGGCACATAGTATCAGTTTTGATTCTGAAAATCTATAAATGTCCGCCTGACTTTATCAGTGTGAAAATACGGGACAAGGCAGGTAATAAATTTTCAGCGGCAAATATTTAAAAATAATAAAATACTCGGATTTCGTTGAGAAACTGTGCTGGAAGCTGCGGCATTTTCCAAAAGTGATAAAATATGATCTTTCAAAATATTCTAGTTAGAAACCGAAATCGCCTGCCTTTCCTCCTTTCTTGAAAAGTGCGCCGTTCACAACGGTTTGTCTCTTCTCTTTCGTCTTTAAACTGGACTTAAGGATCCACAAGGAGTTCACTCACAGTTGCTTGAACCTGTCTATGCACTTTGGACAGAACTGGATTAAAGGGCTGCATCGGCCAGCATTCATGTAGGTCAGTTACATTACGCAACCTAGGCACAGGCATCCTACGCGTGACGTAGACATCTCGTCTTGCGCAGTTGGCCTTTCAATACCTACTCGTCAACTGACTCTTTTATACATTGCTCAATAGGTATGTTTTATCGCGGATTGCAGTAACCTCGATTGTAATATTTGTTTGACGACAGACCGGTGTAATTGTAACTAGGATGTTACTGCAAAGGTTTTTGGTTCCCGTCTTGGTTACGGCGTTTTGTGTTCGCATTTTTTTTAATAACACGCTAAGCTGTTGGTCCCGACTGCATCTAGTCGTTAGCAACCACTGATCCACTCTGAGCCTGCGTAGTGGGTCTCGACCTAGTCTTGCTATTCCATCCACAAAAAAGGCCTGTAATTCAACTGTGTGGACATAATGAATAAGAATATTTTACTAGAAAAAAATCCAACCGGACCAATTCGCAGCAGACGGGACTCGAACACGTACGCTTCGCTATCCGGGCGGATGCACTGACCATTATGATTTAAACATCTAGCAGTTGCTAACTAAACAATGCTTTAAAAAAAATATGTAACTATAATGAAAAAGATTGATATAACTTTATTTTTAACCAATGCATATTAAGAATATCTCTACGATCGAGGACGCGCGAGTGTTAATAGTTTTAACATTATTATGTTTTATTATGCAGTACCGAGTACAGCAGCAGGCGAATGTGCACTCGTTGCGAACTTAAGTTTCCCGTCTTTACGATTCGTGTGATTTCTTGCAGGAATTTCGAATCAAAAGTTCTTTTCCATCCAAAACAATTAAAATTTTGTACCCTTAACGCCGCTGCACTGTTGTCCAGACGACAACAATTACAGAAACCTTATCGGTAGTATTCAATAATCCTTAAAAAATCGTCCAGTGTGAATGAATTATAATGTTGTACAGTACATATACTTATATTATGAAAACTAAGACATTATATAGTATAGGGAAATATTAACCACAGTCATGGTTTAATTGTTCTTAAATAGTAAACATAATAAAAACAACATAGCTATGCTATTATCTAACTCGTCCTAGTATTAAGGAAACTATGACATCCTGCGTTATCGCCTGTAAGTGGGTCGACGCATGCGCCATGTTTGAAAATTATTTTCACTGCGCCCACGAGTTTATTATACATGACTTATCAAACTATGAAACGACTTGTATACGATTTCGGGATCCATATGCAATAGTGATTAAGTGTGAACGCTGCCGCGTCGCTTGCGGCCGGCCGGACGGAAACGTTAACTAATTTAAACATGATGCACATCTACATTTGGAAATTATGTCATAAGTATTTCCGCCATGGAATTGCACATTTTTGCTGCAGTAAATAAATAATTTATCGACAGGTTGTGGTTCACCTGATGCCATCTATTTTTTTTATGTAGGCAGATTACCAATTTTTTTTCGGAAATGTACGGGCATTTATTATTATAAGCGTTCGTCAAAAACTAGATTTTTCATTACATCCTGTCTACTCATCGAAATAATATAATATACAATACACGCACAGATACAAAATAAACTTAAAATGAAATGACATACTTTACTTATTTATGCAAACGCAAAAGTGCTACAGTTATGTATGCTCCCCTAATTCTTTTTAGACTCATCGTATTTGCTGCATGTGATTTAAAATCATATTGAATCATATTAAAAAAGTTAAATTATTAAAGTTTTGAATTGAATAACTCAATAGATTCCAACAGTTAGTAATAGTATTAATTTATTTCGTTTTTAAATTTCCTCATTTCATTTTTATTTCAACATCGGCTAGAAAGATCTAATGCCTAGCTATCTAACAGTGCGAGCCATGAGCGGCGGGTGAAATGGAAAGCGTTTACGCAACCATACCTCGCCGGCTTCTGCGTCCGCGCATGTACGCATAAACACCACACATAATATTATACATAGGTATATTATATATGTTTACCAATTTCATAATTATGTCCTTACTGATATTGAGCAAGTGGAATTTATACTTACCGGGTGTTGGTTGCACACAAATGTTTTAATTAAAAATAAGTTCTCATGAGGACATAGCCCTTTCGTATATTTGTAATTATAAATACCACAATTAATTCACAAGAATAACAGAAAATGCTAGCATTATTTGCGAATAACAATGAAATAATTTATATAAATAAATTATTGAATAGCATTTAAATAAAAATTTTAACCACAATAGTGTACCGTCCAATGAATGTGAATAATGAGAAGCTAGTTGCGTCAGTTGTAACGGGACAACATTTCACTCTCGGAGCGGAAAGCGCAACGCGGAAGGCGAAACTTTCTCTTTTGCGCAGCGCTGCCGTTGGCCACAGCGGAAAAATACAGATAGTTCGCTTTTAACTAGACCTTGTGGCGGTGTCGGTTGCCATTTTCATTTAATAGTGTTTGAATTTACATTGAAAGAAGCTTTAAAACAATAAAACTCGATGAAACCGTAATACGACCTCGCTGAAAAGCCGTACCCTCTGTTTAGAAGATGCTGCATAACAGCTCACCATAACCGACCGCATGTACAATATCGTGGAAAAGCGCGCGCGTGCGAACGGGATGGCAATAGCGAGTGAGGACGCGAGCGCTCGAGCGGAGGTCAACGGCTAGCCGCGGTCGTTGCCCCGCTATCGGAGTGACCTACTGAGCACGTGACGTCACCGCCGCACCGCGCGCCTCTTGGCATTGGCTAAGCACCACCGTTCAACGCCATCTAGGGGCTAGTAGTTGATTTAAAAATCATCATAGCTTCGTTACAGCCTATAGCGCCACGCGTTAACTACCAAACATAAGTAGAGTAAGAAATTTTAATAGCCGTGGTAAACAAGAGTAGATATGAAATACTTATACTATTTTTTATGATTTCATAATTTTACAGCTTTGACGTCAATGTTTTACGGCAGAACCCAATTGTTTTTATTTTTATCAAATATCGATAACAAATTCTGATTGAGAGAGATACCCCTATAGCTAATGACTACGGGTTCGGGTTCCTATATAAATACCTAGAACTAAACTTGTCAAAAACTGTTGTTATCTTTGTCTTCTTAAAATTAAACAATAGTCACTATATCGGTAAAAGTTGACTTTAAGAGTTCTAAAAAAAATATTGAATTATTAATTCAATTGTATCGTTACTTGTTCACAGAGGTTGAACTGGAGGGTATCCAGGATCGCTACGTGCAGGTGTTGCGGAGTTACCTGGAGCATGCGGCACCGCACCACCCCGGTCGTCTGCAGGAACTCTTCGCCAGGATACCAGAAGTAAGCAACGAAACATAGTAATATATTATAATTAAATAGGACCAGCTGCCATGCCATAATGTAAGAGAAAGAAATAAATAGGAAATAGGATTTATTCCTTATAAGTATAAAATACCTTTCGATTTAGCAGAATAATGATCAGTCTGTTTCCGAAGTAATGGAGTAGCTATAAGCAATATCGCGTGGAGCGACTGGATCATAAATTACTCTAAACTACAATTATCACTTCAAGATTTCTTCGAGATTAAAGTGGCGGAAAACGACTACTTAATTCAATCTTTCATTATTCTTACATTTGAATTGATTTTCTTTCATTTCTATTATTAACGGCCATACAATACCACTGTCACCTTATATAGTTGATAGCGAAAGGCCCTAGATGCCCGTTATCAGTGAAACTAACGTACCAAACTAGTATTGAACTAATTTTCTACTGCCTTCACAAAGAGCGAACCAGTTTCAATGTAAAATAGAAAGTGGGTACCTACTGAAAACCGACGCTTATTTTCACCTCCCTCCACAGATCCAAGCCGCGGCGAACCTCCTACTCGAGAGTAAAATGTTCTACGTACCTTTCGTGTTGAACTCGGCTGAGATCAGATAGTATATGGCGCAGCAGGGTGTCTAGTTCTCGATGTACGAGCGACTGGTCCCCCGCCCCCGGCCCCGCTGCACCCTCGTCTTATGATCACCGCACACCACGCTGTGTTCACCAGTCCAGCACAAGAGTTCGTACAAATGTTCCTACTACTCGGCCCCCGACAATAAAGTCAAAGAGTCGACAATAGCGCCGCGGAAAATTCCGATGGTACGACAGCAGAACAATAAGAAATCGCAAAAGGACTGTTTTACAACGTTGGAAGCGCAAAACAGTACCGATAAATCTGAAGACAAGCGGACTGTTTAGAGTGTGATAAGGACCTCAGTACAACCCTGATCGAAGTCAACAACGACATCTCTGCGTGTCGAGAGAATGGTTACACGACGCGCACCGTTCGCGCCGCAGTGACAGGTTCGAGTGCAAATAAGACAGTGCGGTACATTTATACCCTTGTTGAGTCAATGTGTGTATTGGTATATTGTTTAGTAGAGGAATTAAAACGTCCCAATTGACAGACTGATTTATTATAAAATAATTAGTGATTAAGTACCAGGGACTTGAATGCGTGTTTTATACGTGGTAGTGTATACTAACTAGTGTTAAATAGAATAAAATATATAATTATGTTACTATTTAAATTTGTCAGTCGGAAATCGCATAATATATATATATAAATAATTATTATTTCTGTAAATATAGACTGTAGATTATGATAAAAATAAAAGTTGTTTTTAGACAGAATTGTTTCTTGTAAATGAAATATTGCTGTTTTAGTTTGCATTTTATATCGTGTAGGTATCCAGTCGTTTAAACTTTTAAACTGAGTGGAAAAAATTTAATTTAATTTTTTATGACTTGTACGTAATGTAAGTAGCACTAAGTACCTACCTACCTACTCTCAGTGTTTACCAAGACTGCTTGTATACAACTATAACTGTTTTATACACTAATTTAGAGTGGTCTCGCTCGGTTCTTAGTCACAACTAATGCATTTTTATTGCCAATACTTCGCATAACACTTGTGCATAATTATTACTATGTTTCTGTATAAACCATTTCCCATTCTGGTCTAATTAGGTTTAAGCGACCATGCACATACCCTTAAGAGCGTGTGTTATGGTTTCTTATGTGTACAATCCTTTGTTATTCTAAGCCGACGAGATTTTGTTTCTTGAGGTGCTTTATTATACTTTGCTTCCTTCAATGTGTTCAAACTTTTGTGCTCAATCTATCGTTGTTTTTTGACGATTCATTAAATTCACCTATTTCAATATCATCATTTCATGTTTCTGTAATAAAACATTGTTTTCCTGGTACTATATTAACATAATACAATTACATTTTTAACAAAAATTGGTAATAAATAATTTGAAATGTTAAAGTTACAAGATTCTGAGCACCACACGTTTACAAAAAGCTTTTATTTTAGGCTTAATTTTTATTTTTACAAAAAAGATATTGTCATTATTTCATATCAAAGAGAATCATTTCAACACTCCTTTCTTAAAAGCAAGACATACCCCTATATCCTTCATCTCCCATAACATCAGTACCCTTAGAACGATCAACAACACAAATCGCACAATTAACATTGTTTTCTTAATCGTATCGTACTAAAATCTATAACTAATCGTCATAAAATCATAATTCATAGTTAACATTTTATCATTATTATTATATAACGTGGCATCAAACAGAACTAAGTCAGTCATATTAGACATAAAAAATATAAAAAATAACAAATCTTTAAACTAAGTGATGATATTAGACTTTCCGATCTTAAAACTCAAAAACCAGTAATCACTGCCTCGACTTTTTCAAGTTATTTGCCGTTATCGTTATTAACACTCGTATTAATCGTTAATATTAAATTGTATTAAACGTTCCATCAACGGTGAACAGTTACCACTAGCTATAGGTAAAGGCTACGTCTGCCTTGTTAAAATTAAGTAATTACAACCAAAAAAGTTCGTTCTAGGGACTTAGGTTCTAGTTAAATAAACGGTGTATGCCTTAGCATTGTTGAATTCAATGTCAACAATTCAACATACATTATGATAGAGATATATGTGTGTTCGTTAAGAGAATCTTCTGATTTATTTAAGAAAAATAATCTGTTTTTACTAACGTACAATACCCCATTTTTATTGTATTCTATACCATTTGGAGAATTTGATATTGTGAATTTAAATTAGAAAATCACAAGTTTCCAGGCCAGTTAAAATATACTTAGAAATAACATCAAAGCTTTCTTTCTAATAAAATAAAAACAACTTAGTAGTAATAAAATCTTTCCAGTTATATTAGACAAAATGATTACAATACAAGAGCCGTTTCTACTGTCTTTCTTACAGATAACAATTTTTATACTTAGAAAGGACAATGATTTGAGATCCTTAATTGAATGAGCGACACACGTCCGTTCCTCTTCGCGTTACCATTAATTAAGTGTTAGCAATTATTAATGTGTTTGTAAATTGTAAGTTATTAGTTTGAATACGACCAGTTACGATACTGCCATCAAATGCCTAAATAGTTTGTCAGTTAATTTTGTTATATTTTACGTATGTTTAGTTAAGTTGATGATGTCGGTGAAATTATTAGTTAATTGTGATAGGAAACAGTGATGTTTATCGTGTCTAGTTTGCAATCGGTCTCGCTTGCGTGATTCTTCATATTTCTCGGACTGGTGAATACTACACGACAATTCGATAACTATATTTATTTATTAATTTTTATCTAACGTAATATAATCAATTAGTTTGTAAATACACCATCAGAACGACGGTGGTAAATCTAAAGTCTGAGGTAAAGATGCCTTTATAGATTTTTAAACATGTAATGACGGAAATCGTTAATAAAATAACTATAATCGCAAATCGTGCATCGTTCTACTAATGTGTAAATGCTATGTAAGTAATATTGACACTTATTTTGTTAGTAGCTTAGTGTTAAGGCGAAACTAACGGCATTCTATCAAATGGGAATTAGAATTTTAAGGATGTTATTGGCATTGTACAAACGATAGTATTTGTTAATAATCAAACTATCAAATTGGCGCATTACTGGCGAGTACCTAATTAGAATAGTACATGAGAAGCCCAAAGAGGCTACACATTGATAAAACGTGTAAATACAATTTTTCTTCACGTGTAAATGGCCACTCGCTTTTCGTTGCTTTTCTAAATTCGTTTGCTAGACAGACTATAGGCTTTTTTCGCCTCTTGAATGTAAAACTTTAGAACTTTTGTACTTTAAATATAACAGAAATTGAACTGACTGAAAGTGGACTTGGTAATTCTTAATCATTTGCTTCTGCTTACTGTTTTTTTTTTCATATTATAAGCGATCGTCGATCTCGTGAGAACGAACGACCTAGCTTGACCGACGCTGAGCACACTTTTATAATGTAAATAATGAAATAAATATAGATTCTTGTCACATTTACGCGTGCAAAAGTAATAAATACCATCCATTATTTTTCAAGCTTATAACACAATTATTATTGCAAAGTAAGTATAACATCAGAACCTAGTACAGCAAATTAACGGTTAAAACAATATTATATGGCTATGCATTTTTTTTCTTTTACTATAAGTCAATTACACAATAATTAATCTAAAATATACGAGCCTACATTATTCACGTCACCGGTTGCTCAGACGTCGGTCATTAGTTTATACTGCGAAAATATTTTGACTGATATTAGTAAATAAACATATTATTATATTATTACGTATAAGTGTGTAACAAAAACTTAATGCATTTCACAGTTTCTTTACAGTCCATAAGGAAAAATAATTAACGTCTAAGATATCGTGACGAAATATTTTCACATTCATAGAATAAGAGTATGGTTTGTTGTGTATAAAATAATAGCGTTTCGTGTATTTCGGGTAAAAGAGGGTTGAAATGTGTACATTAGACATTGTAATAAAATACTTAGTTATATAAAATTGACGTGTGTAATGCCGTAAAAGAATATATATTTGGAAATGTTGACGAGTGTTTGTTGTATGTAATTACTTACAAGTCACAGATGGATATTTGAACTCTATTACCAATATATGTATATCTATTCTATACATTGTACATTTATTCAGATGCATTAACTGTGGAGTTCCGTTTTAGTTACACCAAACAAACACGTTTCGCTTATCATTATGTTTATTTGGATATTGAAGAAAACTTTATTCATATTTGTATAATGCATACGTAAATCATCAATGTTATATTATATATAAAATTACGATATTCTCTGTAAATGTGTACTAAAAGTATGTCTGTAAAACAAAAATATAGAAAATATCGTAAATAGAACAATAAAATTAATTTCTGAGGAAAAACACATCACAAATGTAACAATGTTTTGCGCACTTAAATTAAATAGCAACAATTATGAGAGTTCTGTGTGGTCGAGTGTTTTGTATTCACGTATTTAGTTGGGCTCGCTCAATACCAAGACTTATCGCTTTCAGAACTAGCATACTTATACGTTAAGTATTATGTAACCTTAGGATCCTTGTTTACATGTAGAAAATCACATTAGTTGCTGACTGCAGTACTGTTCTGGGTGGCTCTACGGCTGTTTGTTATAAATCGACCAAGTTAAGTTGTACTGTGTTGGTCAACTAAGAAAAGGATTATCCCGATGCCATTTCATACCGCTATCTCTCTAGTGTTTTTAGTGTTTAGAAAGAAGTGGTTATTTAAATATGACATCTCGATAGTCCTACTTTTCAGTGACCCGCATTGTACAAATTGTACAGTGATTGTTTGTATTAACTCGTTTGTGGTGCGCCGCGTGTTATGTTAGTCAATGGAATGCGTACGGTTTGCCAAGAGAAGTTACCTACAATTGTGTTTAGTTAGCGATGCATAACGTGTTTGTACTTTAATTTGTTTTTTAGTTATACTCTTGGAAATCAATGGTTAATAATTTAAGAAAATAAAATGTATGTGAAATATGTTACTTGTTTTCTTGTGTTAGAATCATGGTCGTACCTCTGTCCACCCTGAAATTCAAGCGTTGAAACATTATCTTTGTAGTTATAAATTAATTTTAGAATAAATGTGAGTTAAACTGGAATGGAAAGTCACTAGCTACACTAATGGTCAAATGTTTGTTTTTTTATTAATCCATCATCTAAATATGATGCTATCATAATTTACATGGAGTTTTCCATAGCATTCGTTAGGTACACAGAAACTTATACATGGAGCATTCAATTACACTAGTGAATAGCAGCTGGACTTCCTTCCTAAACACTTCACAATATAGTTTATTATATTTATTAAAGCATGTGCTAGATGTATCAATGTAAAGCAAAAAAACTTAGAATAATAAAAGAAAACCACGCTGCCCAAGTAGCAGACGGGACTCGAACCCGCACCCTCCGCTATCCGGGTGGATGCACTTCCAATTATGCTACCGCGACCTAAACGTATTAACACCCGCTGTTTTATAAAAAGTACACAACTTTAAGTTAAGATAAAAATCATCTTGTAGGTGTTTTACTCTAGCAAACTATCCTTACCTACCCTAACCTGAACCACTAGAATACAAATTGAAAACAATCGGTCATAAAAGTCCACGCAATAAGCTTACATCAGAAACAAAATGAAATTTGTAAAAAAAAAAGTGTAATCCCATTCATTTTGTGTTAGTGGTTTTGTCGTGTCTGCCGGTGAGTACTTATTTAACTTATTTCTTAAGATTCAGCTTTGGAAATTATTGAAAAGTTACATAAAATTTCAATATTTAATTTATAAAAAAAGTAACATTTGAATAAAGCTCTTCATGTTATAACACATAAAGTGCTACTGTTCTAACTTTAGTACAATGGGCGCTTGACTTGTAAGTATAATAGTACCTATAGTACATACATTTTTGAGAGTGTTTTATGCTTTTTAGTCGCAGATCTTACTTGTTATACACCACGTGCGCTCAAAATGTGTCCCAATCGTGAAGTGCTTGAACTCCACTCAAGTACTTCTAGGTTCACAGTCACGCGCGGACCGTTGAAAAGTCAAGATGCCGCAGAGCTCCGTAAAAATACGAATAAAAATGTATAGTACGAAATACCTTTACAAGTATGAACATTGAAAGAAGTAGCAATTTAAACCTTATTATATTTATTAAAGCATTTAAAGAAAATATTACTAGAGAAAATTCCACGTGGAGCATTTTTCCAAATAATATTTTCTTAAGATTTAAACATCGAGCATTTACATGCTTAAAAATTAAAATTATAACTACAATTGCTATTTTTTTCTTTCAAATGTTTAATACTTGTAAAGGTTATTGACAATATTTGTCATTGTGGGTTATCTACAATGCGAAGAGATAGCGCTGCCTTGCAGCTTAAGAAAGGCTAGAAAGAATTCGACTTCTTGTTCGAACTCTCGTATACTTTGGGGCATGGGCCGAAGATTTCGAGTGATGCCAATTGCCAACGTGCAACCGGTGCCCAAAAAAGGGGACCGCTCAGACCTGGCTTACTATCGGCCATTAGCAGTCACCTTAGTATTTTGTAAGTCCTAGAAAAGGTCCTTACTTAACAACCATCTGAACCGCTATCTAGTTGCACACTCTCTGATTAATGATCTTCAATATGGCTTTATTTATACTGAAACCAACGACAGGTGATCTTCTAGCGAACATGACACACATCTGGTGTGCGACTATCGAGAAGTGGGGCTAATCGTTGGCTATCAGCTTTGATAGAGCCTTCGACAGAGTCTGGCATTAAATCTTCTTTCCAACCTTCCAGCATGCGGTCTACCCGCTCAGCTCTGTTCCTAGGTAGCTGACTTCCGGCATCAACGTAGAATTAGAGTCCTTACGAATGATAGTAGTTCCCGATTCATATTGGTCAATGCCTCAGGGTTCAAAACGGCAGACGGACAATAAAGTGAGTGAGAGTGAAAGTGAATGAATGATGAATGAAATGAATGAATAGGTGTTCCGTTTTTTCTATTTAAGGAACTTACAAATGATTATGAACACATAATGTTTGTAATTCTTTGTTTATTTACTAATTGCTGTAAATGGTATTATGGAGTGGTAATTAGAAATAAATAAATAATGTAAGAGAGATACTGTGACATGCCTTATAGTTTCTTCTATCAAATTAAGTTGGGTTTTGAGTTCTTAAACCTAAAAATAAGGTTGAAATCAAGGCTGTATGATTTTAGTATCTTTTGCCTTTATTATAGAAAAATTATAACAATAATAAAATTGTCCCTCCTCCCTGTGTTTCTTTCAGTGTATTACTTTTCTCCACGGGGGATAATCTTCATACAACGGAATGCAATCATAGTCGGCCGCCATTACTGGAATTAAGTGACATTTCTTTTTTTTAATTTTGATGAAATTGCTTCTTTGACAAGCATGACATGACACATGACATGTATGATACGCCGTTATTGTTCATTGCGATTTGTGTTAGTCAAGTACTTGTGCTTATTACTCTCCACTTTATATGCAATTAGGCCTTCATTGTTATTCGTATTTTACGTCTTTTACGATGTAATACGAGTGCTGTGTGTGCAAAAGATCGCGACAGGACGCTTTATTATATCATTTTCCTGGCAACTGGAAAAGACTTACTATGTGGTTAAAGTGTATAAACCGTGATGATTTGAAGGCATTACCTAAAGATCAGCTTTCGAATCTTTTCGTGTGTCAAAAGCACTACGAGACTCGTTTTATTACGTCGGAATCACGGCTTCAAAAAAATTGCTTATCCATCATTGTTCACTGAAGTCAAAATATTGAGTGGAATTATTGTCACCTCCACCTATTACAAAACAGTGTCTTATGCAATAAGTCAGCAAAAAAGTTTATCAACATTATATATATAAATTGTATTTAATAAAATTTATTTTTCAGCTGGCACTGTGAAAATCAGAGGGGTGAATTTAAATATTATTTATGACCCCTGTCATTTGATTAAGGGGTTGCGGAATAACTTTATAACTAAAAATATATTAATGGATGGGAGAACTTCCATATGGAGTGATATTGTTGATGTCTACAAAACAGACTGTAGTCATGCTGAGATCAGGCTATTACATAAATTGAATGACGAACATGTTATTCCAGAAAAGATAAAGAAAATGAAGGTGGGTTCTCCTTCATTACTACAAAGAAATAATCTTGCAAAGCTAGTACAGTCAGCTTCAAAAGTACAATCATCTGATGCTGACCATATCATATGTCTTACATAATATCTGGTTGGTGGTCTTACTTATTTTGTCTTGTCAACATTTTATTAAAATTTGTATTTTGTTATAGGTACAATTCTTTAATTGTGTAAAAGTATTAAGCAGTACCATGTCTGCTGCATTATCGTACACTGCAAAATTTTGTAAGTATATTTTATAATACTGAATAAACATTTAGTTCTGTTGTACTGAAGTAAAAGGTGTGTCATGCTCATCTTAGATAGAAATAAAATAAATTTAATGTTATTTCACTAACAGACAAAGTAATGGTCATAATATGACATGGTACAACAGGACTCGTAAAACAATCTATAGATACAACAGGACTCATAAAACAATCTATAGATAGTATAGTACAAAATTGCTCTTTCTATATGTACCCCTAAAACTTTTAATCTAGGCATCGGATTCCATGCAGTTTTTAGCAATAAAGAAGAATGATCGAAGAGGAACATTTACATATATATTATAGTATACATTGCATTCGTACGAAGCTGGGGGCGGCGTTTTAGTATAAGTTATAAATATTTGTAAAAAGACATTATTTTTATAGGATGTTTAAAATATTGTTTCAGCGCACTATGCCGATGGTAGACCCGTCAGTGAAACCCTGGACAACACCGCAAAGACCGTCTTATTCTTAGACCAATTATTTGATAGCATAAACGGAGCCTCCATGTTAGGGAAAAAATCTAAAGGGAAGTGTCTACGAACGGCGGTCACAAATAATTCACCGCATCATGTATTCTGGAATGAATCTATAAATAAATTACAAATTATGAAATATGTCGATAATACAGGAACAGAAAAGTCAGTGCCCTCATTGCCAAATTTTATAACTACATTAAAAAGTTATCAGAGGCTGTGGCAGCTTTTTAAAAAAGAAAATATGAAGATAATGCGTCCGAGATATTTTAATTCTGACCCTATTGAAAATTTCTTTGGGCAAGTGCGAGCCTATAATTTTAGGAACAATGACCCAGACTGCCACAGCTTCAGCTGCACATATAAATCCTTACTAATAACTAGAATACTAAAATTTCATAATGAAACGTTTACTTGTGAGGATGACCCGGCTGATCAAGTACTTAATTTGCAAACACTGTTTGATGACAGAGATATCATGCCGGGTCATCCCAGTATTGATATGATTTTAGAACAGGTACGAAGAGAAAAAATAAATGTACACTCACGGGCCTATACTGCTGGATGGGTAGTGCAAAAGGTATTGCAAAAGGTATTGCAAAATTTAAAAAGTGGTTGCACAACATGCAAAAATTCCCTCACCACCAGGGACTTAACTAATATACATGTTTGGATAAGTCACAGAGAATATACAAAAGCTAAAAACCGGTTGCACTACCCATCAAAAGGTGCAGTAAGGTGCTTTGGTACAATAATTAACGAATCAAATGAATACTTAGAAATAAAAGGACATGAAACAAATATAGCCAAGAATATAAAAGAAGTAGTTATTTTTAAGTATTAATTTGATTATATTGTATGTACCGAGCACAAGTTATTGGTAATAGATAATTTTGTAAATTTAGTTATTAAATTTGCCATAATCAATTGGTGCAGAACAATAAACAAAATACTAAAGGGCACTGACATTTTCCGATTAAGTAATCGTTCTTTGTCTATGACGCAAAAAATGGCGTTGGAAAAATATAATAAAAAATTAAAAAATAAATCTTAATAAATAATTCATGTGTTTTATTGAAGTTCCTTTAGTTATGAATAAAAATTCCGATTAAGTGGGATACCTAGGTACCTAAAATTTTATGGATGAATAAAGTTGAGCCTTAGCCACCCTTTGACAAAATTTTAAAAAGTAAGTAAATGTCATACAAGACTAGAAGTACTTGTGTAGACGCTAACTTTTTTTTGTACTAGAGTCGGTCGTCTGATACGTAGTATCTCTAACTAGTCTGTGCTTTTCTCTATGGTTTCTTTCTGTCAAAATTTTGCCGACAGCCACATGTCACGTTGAATTATTCTAATTTACTTTCTTTCCCTGAATTCGCCATTAAATTAAACCTCAAAGATGGTGAGTACACAGGAATAAGCCTAAGACATTTGACAAAAAAAGTGATTACTCATCTACATCAAAATATATTCTTGTTATTGTGCTATATCAAATTTGTTGTATGCGTTTTATAAAATTGTTATTCATCAAATCATCCTTTTAGAAACCTCTAATGCTTCAAGGGCACGAGCGTGCCATCACGCAAATTAAATACAACAGGGAGGGAGATTTACTATTCTCTGCAGCGAAAGATTCCAAACCTAACGTGTGGTGGTCCCTAAATGGTGAGCGTCTGGGTACTTTCAATGGCCACGGAGGAGTAGTGTGGTGTCTCGACGTGGACTGGCAAACTATCAACCTAATTACTGGTGGAGGCGATAGTTCTTGCAGGTATGTTTATGTTATTATTTTATTCATTTTTGGGTACTGTAAGGTAAGTAACCCATGTAGTATGTCTGACACTGTTCAGAAATGCACAAAACTGCTAGATTGTATAGAGTTAAAATGATACTACTATAATATTATTGTTTATTATACAATAGTAGCAAAAAGGAAACTATATTTTTTCTATATTCTTTTGGTAGGTTAGGTGGCAATATAAAATAAGAATTAAATTTGAACTCTCATATTGTTTGACAATAAGTTTTACCTTTTTTAATGCAACAAAGTAGTATTGCAATAATCAAAAATAATTTCTTTTTAGATTGTGGGATTTGGAAACTGGTAAAAACATAGCCACGGTAAAGACGAATTCCTCAGTAAGAACATGCAATTTTAGCTTTAGTGCATATCAAGCTGCATACACCACAGATAAGGCTATGGGACATCCTTGTGAGGTAAGAAGTTCTCTTATATTTCAACATTTTGCTTTTGGTGTTGATTTCCCAGTGACTTTTCCTAAAAACCCTTCCTAATTATAGACTGTGAATTTTGATTTACCTGAGACTTTCCTTTTCCTAAAAGGAAACTACATATTTCAAACTGATAATAATTCCTAATAGATACATGCATTCCCGACAGTCACACCAGACCGACACACCAGTGTGCTGGTGGGGATTTTTTCTTCCCAACCATACACTAGTGTTATGAATGGGAACCCTTTCACACCGGTGTGATAGTTGGCAATGCATGGAAATAAGTATCTCCTTTGGAGTGATGTTGCCCTGGTAAATCAGGTTCATTCTTAACAGTAAGGATACTTGATAAGCATTCTTTTCTGTTTTCTCAAGCTTTTATTTAACTTGCAGTTTTCATATATAACTATGTATGTAAAGGACAATGGGCAAAACACACCCAGCTCCGCCAACAATGTAATTGGTATGAATCGATATATCTATGAAAAACTAGCCTTTTTTATTATGACACTGAAAAAAAATATCCTGGTAGTCAAAAGATATGACACCATAAAAAATATCGTGGTAGTCAAAATATGTGTATAATACATGGACATATTTAAACAGCTAAATAAATTCAATTTATAGTACCTTCATTTGATATTATTAGTAACCATAATAAATGCAATATCGTACTATACAACCAGATATATGACAAAGCTTGCCAACAATCCTGCACTTGCACTTAGGTACTGAGACACAGGTTGAAGGACTTGCAGTTGCAAATAGTCGACTCGTCTTACTTCGTTGTGATTATGCGCTCCCTGTCACTTGATTGATTTTTATCAAACACGCTTTGGACATTGGAACACTATTATCGGTTTTGTCAATTAGTATGGATGAACTGGAATCATGTTTTCTCCTAAGCGTGGGCAAGTTTGTGTCATTTGAGGTCGCTCCGTTTTACATAGAAGACAATTTACTATATGGAACAGAGTGTTTGAAAAAACTCCAACCCATGCGGGGATTTTCGGATTTACTCTAGGGTAGGGTAGGTAGGGCAGTACAACATAAGGGGACACCCTTGCACCTTGTGAAATACTCCCATAATACCAGCCCACTATGTAGGGTAGAACTAATAAACTAAATTAATTCCCTAGTTTCATTAATGTTCATTCATTATAGTACTTGTACCTATTTAACTTAAAATAAGTAAAGACCCCTGGGATGGAATTTGATGCGCTTTGGCACAGATGATTATGACTATAATACCTTTCAAACTAATATAAAAAATATAAATAAATAATACTAATAAAGTTTAAGCCGTGGCAGACGTGGGTGCAGCGTCCACACATTTTTGCCCATTGTCCTTTCAAAATTCTACATCAAATTTGATAAATTATTTAAATTCCAGTAAACCTAAAGGCTTTCTCATCCTATTTGTTCTACTGTCAAGCGTTGTTTTACAAATAGGATTTATTTCCTACTTGTGTTATGAGTTAAACAAACAGTAGACTAGATGACAATAACTTCTGCACCCACCAAAAGTCTTTTTTTAATTTGCCTTAAAGTTCTTCTATAGCTTTTCTTTGCATACAATAAATTATTTATTTGATTATAAAATTAATTCCCAGCAGTAAGACTGGAATGGAAATCAAGGCTTACCCACATCACACTGAACTTTGAAAGTGTGATGGTCGTGAAATAAATCCCCACCATGGGAACATTTTTTTTATGGGGGTGTAGAACATTTACTGTTTATAACTGTTTGCACTATTGCCATTTACATGTTTTAGTTTCTCAGTACCTCAAAATTCACAAAATTACCAAAATGGGCAATATGTTGCATGTTTTTGTAGTTTATTATTTTCCTTAGCAACAATACAATCATAACAATTTATTTGCAGGTCTCCATTATCGATACAAGAACGATTGATGAATCAATTTCGACACAGTCTCCCATATTAAAATGGGAAATCACCGATTCCAAAGTTACTTCTATGGTTTGGGGCACTCTAGATGAAACCATCATCACAGGACATGAAGCAGGAGATCTGATCCAATGGGACCTAAGAGTAAGTTAAAAAACAACAAACTTCTTGAGCAACAATCATAGACAACAAAGCCTGCACAGTAGCCGTTTTACATACAAAAACATCTACTGCGCAAGTTTATTTGTCTGTGTTCTAGAAGATTTTCTCTACCTATACTTAGTTTGAACCAGTATAATAGCTTTTATTATAGTGGTTTTAATGTTTGATATGGCAAAAGAAGAAATAATTTGAAAACTATAAAAGTGAAAAGAAAAAAAAATTGGATGCCAGTTGGTACAATGGCAGCCCTCCTGCATTTTGGTCTGATGGTCCTAGGAACAAATCCCATTGGGGCATTTTTCATTATAAAAAAACTAGTATAACAAAATAATCATAAATTAATATGTTATTACCTGTTTGATTTTAAATTGCAGTTACAAAATCCTCTTTTAAATTCGCAGTAAAAGAGTAGTTTGTATAATAGCTTAAAGATCCTTTATAACAGTCTCACAAAGTTATACCTTGCACAATAATATCTATTTCTTTTTTAGACTGGCAAGAAAGTGCATTCTGTCAAAGAACACACTCACCAGATTAATGACATGCAACTGTCTCGAGATGGAACCATGTTCATTACTGCATCAAAGGATCAAACTGCCAAGCTATTTGACACCAGTTCATTGGAACTTCTCAAAGAGTACAAAACAGAACGTCCTGTCAACTCTGCAGCCCTCAGCCCGATTTTAGATCATGTAGTTCTTGGTGGTGGGCAAGATGCTATGGAAGTCACAACAACTTCAACCAGGCAGGGCAAGTTTGATGCTCGTTTCTTCCATTTAGTATTTGAAGAGGAATTTGGACGTGTCAAAGGTCATTTTGGCCCCATTAACAGTTTGGCATTCCATCCTGATGGGAAAAGTTATGCATCTGGTGGTGAGGATGGCTATGTTCGTGTTCAGAGTTTCGATCAGTCCTACTTTGACTACACATTTGATTACAACAGGGATTGAAACAAGAAATAAAATAAATACTATTAAGTCTTGGTTCCATGTACAGATTGGATGCTAGAGTCATCGTGGTTAGTGGATTTCTTAAAAGGTTAACAGTAAAGACATCTTGAATTAAACAAGTATTTAGTATTATAAAGTGATATAGAAATATTTTACATAAACAACAATTAATACCATATTAATATTGCTTTGTTGACTCTAGCACTAAAGTTGTAATTTTTAATAAAATATCAATTAAATGACAGTTTCATTTTTTCATTTCCCGTAGTAAATTTTCAATTCTGATTCTGAGTCATGGAGTGAATACAAAGAGATCTCAGAGTTATGGGGTTTGCTTGCTCTAGAAATTGAGAGAAATCAAGTGAAGCTATTAAGAGGGGTGCAGTGAGCGTAAGTATAAGGCGCTTTGCAGACGACGGGGCGGGGCGGGCTTTTTGTCCGCGAAGCAATAAAAACCGCGTCTGCCCGTCGATGTCTGCGGCTGCCCTCGCCGCGTACACAAAGCACGCGACGGGCAGAGGCAGTCAGTTCAGGACGTTCGTTCTAGTGAATAGTCCATGACTAAAAAGCGCGTGTTATGATTTCATTATCTATTTATTTTATAAACACTTTGAAACTTCTATAAAGTAATAAAAAGAAATAGAATTGAAATATAACTGTATAATAGACTCGGATTTCTTTACTTTATAAGAAAAATATCTACCTTCGAAATTATAAATATTAAAAAAAAACACTATTTATTCAATTCAATTCAAAAAGTCATTTATTCAGTTTAAGCTTTTACAATTACATGTGAAAGTCGAAAACTACGCCATCGGTTCGCAAAACTACGGCGGGAGACCTTGTACTGAGAAGAACCGGCAAGAAACTCGGCAAGGGCTGTTCTTTTCTACCTGTTTTATTTCATACAGATTATTTCAACCAAAATATCAAAACAAAGTATAAAATCTTTACTCACAAATAACTAAACTTCTTATTTTCATTTATAAGAACAAAGAAGTTATTTCTATTGTAAATGACAGACAAAGCATATTATTATATTATAACTTACAATATTAAACAATAATATCATTCCAATAAAAGTTATAAACAACAATAGGAAAATGATTACTTAACTCACATGAGCCTGGCTGTTTAGGCTGCACACTAATATCTGAAGACTCGCTGATAAAGTAATGAATATCAAATCAACAGACATCTGAATTTATACTTTAGACCAACCCTCCTCAAACAAGTTATTAGTGGCGCCATCTTTAACAATATAATTATTAAAGTTTATGGTAGTCTAATAATTTTATTTTATACTAACATGAATCTCTTTAAAACATTCAAAGATAATTGTCATATTATCAGTACAACAAAACATTGCTCCTTTCTTTAAAAGAAAACAAAAACATATGGACTTATGATGGGCGGCCATGTTATCAACCAATCACAGTTAGTATTCTATTTTGTAAAATATCTTCTTATCCAGACCCGAAATACATTATATATCCAATACATACATGATTTAATAAAGCTTTGATACACATCTATAAAATAAAAGCCTTTTGGTTAACACTCGATGGTGGAGTCTACTTAAGGTATTCGCAAACGCCTGTGGATTTTATTAAGAAGTTAACGGTGCAGTGGACAACAAGTCATCCACGGGTCCGGGCAGCAGACATCACGTTTTCCACGTCCCATAAGATATTTATTACGTAGCTGTTTCTAATATCTTATTAAGTGATTATTTTTAATAATAAGAAAGAACCCTTAAAGCGTAATTCCTTGTCACGCGCGGCGCGGACTGAGCTAGCCGCCCCGCGCCGCCGTCTGCGTTACTGCATATAAACTGGTTTGTATGATCCACGGCGGGCAGCCGCGGACATGCCGCGCCGCCACTGCCCGCCGGGCACCTGCGGCGCGGTCTTTTTGCCCTCTGTGTACGTTTGTAGTATAGGATTCACTTTGTGCTATCGTTCGCGGCGAAATTGACCGGCCCGCTCCGCCCCGCCGTCTGCAAAGCGCCTAAATGTTACAAAGATACTCTTTGTAGCATTACAGAACGCTAACAGCGCCATTATCAACACAGTGAGTAGAAACTGAAAGCACGCTGGTTGCAGGATGCCATGTACCAATAAGTTTTACTATATTCACTTCAAATAGCGATAGAATAATGAGACTTATATTTTCTCATGTAGTTCTTTGCTAATATTTTGTAGGTGACTTAAGAAATTGTTAACTCTAATCAATTCAACTTGTCTCAGGCCAGGAATCAAGCGAGTACAGGAAAAAAAAATATTTAACGAATGTTTACGTATCTACACAAAAAGTAGGTAGAGTCGAACTAAACTAATATCAGCACCTCTAGTGCTCAGTAGCTAGAACTGTAGAAGCCTTACAAAATTAATACAATACAACAGCTCCTCTTTGAATTTATTAACGCGTCCGTTCTGCGATCATGTAAAATTAAGCAACTTTAAAAATGACCGGTCATCAGAAGGATAACCAAAAATTTACTATCTTGAACTTTTCCGTGCTTCGGAAAGCACGTTAAGCTGTTGGTCCCAACTGCATCTGCTGTTGTTAGCACCCACCAATCCTCACTGGGTCATAGGCTCATAACCCAATCTCTCTATTTCATCCATATGCAAGGCTTTTACCCTAGCAGTAGGGGCATGAGCATTAATAGGCTGATGATTCTTTGAAACTAATGCTAGTAGGACACAACTACATGCTGAGTTATTGAAATGAAGTGGAAAATATATTTGTAACAATTTATTGTATAAAATATTTATCTAATTTCATTTCACTTGGAATACTTTTCGTCTTTCTTTTTGTTCTACTATCACTTTTTCTTACACATAATACTTAGAGGAAATAAGGTGTCGTGTGCTGTGGAGGGACTTCTCGTTCACTGTCTGGGACAGCTTGGAATAATTTTGGATTTCTATCATTCACAGTTTTGAATTCCAGAATGGAAGCAACGTTGCCACAACGGTAACAATAATTCGGCGCTGACCACACGGTGACCAGTCGCTTGTCAAACATGTATTTAAATCCTGAAACATTTAGATCATGGTTTAAAAAATATATATATTATGTATTCAGTCTATTTAACAAGCACAGTTAAAGGAGATTGCTCAGCTTCCATACATGTTTGGCCTAAAGACCAATAATCATGAAAAATTGTTTCCTAGATTCGAAATTACAATATATAAATTACTGTAGAAACGAATATTATTGACGGACACCCCTGAGAACTTCTATAAACCATATACACTGAACATATTAAAATAATAAAAAACAAATAAGTTATATAGTAAACTAGGGAAATCAAGCCAAGTACCGAAATTATGGATTAGATTCAGGTATATAGAGCATGTAGATTAACAGATAGGTGCCTGTTTCTAAAGTTAATGCATAAGAGTAACTTTTAAAATCAGGTGTCATTTCGGGTTATAATAAGGTAGGTACTCTGTGACAGAAACTGTGTGATGATTGTGAATGAGCCACAGATTAGAGAGAATTTTTAAACTCTCGTTAACCAAAGAAAGCTAAGAGATTAACCATGAAAAAAATATTTTGGCTTTGACCTTCAATATCTCCATAACCATAAATTTCCCAGGTATAGTCCAGAAGAAAAAAATGATCGACATGATGTGGAAAATACGTGGCCTTCGACTTCGTTATAGGTTTTTTAACACCCTGTATAAACAACTTCGATCAGTCTTTGGCTGAATGTTACTACACCCATAGCCATTAAAAATGATTTGTATGTTTTCCAAATTAAAAGTCCTTTTTAAAGTAAATATATTATACAAAGGTGTCCGTTGAAATCTAATGATTGTAAATTCAATTATAAATTACGCCAAGAATTACCGTGTATGTCAATACTTTTTGTGCATTTGGGCCAATTTGAGCAATCTCCTTTAAACAATAAGTTTTTAATAAATAATAAATTTAATAGTTTCATCATAGTGAAAACAATGTGTGTGTGAACTAGGAGACAGTGGCTTAGCGTAGTGGGGGCGGCAGGGGCGGCAAAATTTTACAATAAATAATAAAAATATTTCAACCAATTAAATAAGACGGCGGCAAAATTGACCTTCGCCCCGGGCGTACTACACCCACGCTACGCCGCTGCTAGGAGACCAAAGGAATTTATTCAAATAGAAATAGGACTTAGTCTTCGAAATTATGATCGCTCAATCCTCACAGACCACCAACCAGATCTTGGAAAGTATTTATAAAATTAGGGTATTGTGATTACATACAATAAGTACAGAATCTTTAAAGATATTCATTTATTATGTAAAACTATTTCTAAAAAAATGAATACACTTATGGTTTATTTAATGTTTGTTTTTCAAAAAAAAAAGCAATATGACATGGTCGACCCCTCCTCCCCTAAATCGTCTTGCGTAATAAATGAACGGCCCCCCAAAAATATGACAACTAAACTGTGATCCACACATAAAAAATGTAAAATATTATTGATCTTTCTTGTGGAATGATTATGTGTGGAAATACATAATTAACATTATGATGAGGATCTCGATGACACAGGTGGTTAGCGAATTCGGTCTGCGATCGTGGAAGTTAAGCAACATTCGCAAATGTCAGTCATTGGATGGGTGACCAAAAACTTCTCATGTTCCTCAGCTTCTAAATGCACATTATGCAGTTGGTCCTGGTTGCATCTGCAGTCATTAGTACCCACTAATCTGCACTGGGCCTGCATGGTGGGAAATCTCATAGCCCATTCTCCATACCTTCCTTCCATAGGGAAGACCAGTGCCCCAGCAGTGGGGATATTAATACGTTGATGATTATGATGATGAATGTTATAATATTTTTTTATTATAGGATATATAGAATGTGTATACCTTCATTAACAAGTTGATGTGCACGGCATATTAAAGTTAAATTGTTATAGTCCATGAAAAGTTCTGTTACAAAACTCCCAAACAACCATCCTGCACCTCGAGGGCTTACTGACCTGAAAAAAAGTACAATATACTTTTAAGCAAAATATTATTTTATTTTCTAATACAAATTAATAGTAAATGTTCAAGTTAATCATTATTTTAATGAAAAGTTCTGAGTGAGATTATTGTTTCTTTATTTTCACTTTTCTGTATGCTATTTGGTAAAGGCAGGAGGTTATTGTTAAATAAATGGCATAGATTTATCATAGCCAATTTAAATTTTAGAAGACTCTATTATCTTACCACATCTTGAGGTCTGCAGGGTCGGACCATAGCAAATCACAGAAAGCTCCTTTGTGAGGTATTTGTTGATTCCTGTCTATACAGCGAATTTGGTCTAACATTGATATTTCAGGAGAAAGTCCTCCATGGACACACAATACTGTTTCATCAATAAGCTGAAAAGTACAAATTTAAGAGAAAAAGGTTTCCATAAGGAAACAACAATTTTGATAGGTACCATAAAATATGAAAATATTTTAAAAACACTTAATAAATTTCAAATGTACTTAAATGAGTAAAAGATATTAATATTTGTCTATTATTCACAACCATATTTAACTAACACTCATACCCAGGGATGTCAAATGAATTTAGTCCTGTTTTGTCTTACTCTACAGTTACCGCAAAAATGTGACAGCAATAACTTGAATCAATTTATTAGAGTTGATTGATGTCTCTGTGTGTGGCCATTTGGTATAGTTTGTATGGATTAAAAAACTTGACATTCAAAGTAAATATTCATTTTAATTTATTTAATAGGAGTTTTACTGTGGAGAAACGCTGCGGACGTTCAAAGTATTTTTGTACTGCAGACGCAGAAGCTATTCAATTAATTTATAATCTTAAAGTTAAAGAACCTTTAAGAGATAAGTTTAAAGAAATTAGCATAATAATAATTGTGGAATTACAATATTTACCTATACAAAATTTTATTATTTGTAAGAAAAAATATGAACTTGTTTCTTAAAAGCAGTAATGTTCACAGAATTAATACAAGAAAAATAATACAAACTTTACTTGCTACTAGGCTTCACAAAATCAGTAATTAATTTAAAGGTCTTTGTGTTCACTTAAACATGTGTCTGATTCTATTACAGACAAAACTGCTTGGGTTTGAACTATTCCTTTAATTCCAACAGTTTTCTAAATGAAATACATTATGATTGTATTGACGTTGTAACAACATAATGATTTGTGAATGTTGTTACATTATACTTTTAATATTGTAGAGTTTTTTTCACTTGTTTTTCTCAGCAGCTAAGATATATACAGAGTCAGCAAGCTTTAAAAGATTGTATTGTGTGCTGATAACTGTGTAAAACAATTTCATAATAATATAGAGTTCTGTACCCCAACTTGAACTTTGACAGATCCGTAATTGAGACACTTGCTGTTATCCAAGTTGAGGTCTTTATCATTAGGCAAGAGTGATGTACTAGTTATTTCACAGGGTATATCATTACTTACTGCTGCAACAGTTAGTAGGTCAAACACTCGACAGCAATCTTTCCATGCATTTGCATTTCCATATTTGTTAAGACATTCATCATAAAATCCATATACTTTTGTTATTTGGCATGTCTCATGGTTTCCTCTTAACAGGACAATTCTATAAGAGAAATGATCGAATTAATATAGCCTTTTAGACTATGAAAAATACTGCTTCAGTGAAATTTGTTTACCTGTCTGGGTATCTAGCCTTTAGTGCCATAAGCAGGGTTAATGTTTCTAAACTGTAGTAACCACGATCCACATAGTCTCCCATGAAGATGTACTTAGTGTGTGGCACTTGACCTCCAATGTGGAAGAGTTCTTCTAAATCATAGAACTAGAACAAAACTGATCAGTAACTGTTTGTTTGTAATTATTAAAATATAATTATTGTAAAATGAAGAAGACAAATAACCCTAGCTACTTATATAGTCAGCATATTAGGATAATAGGAAAAAAAATGTATAGAGAACCTTGATTTTTCTTTTACCTGTCCATGAATGTCTCCACAAACGGTGACAGGGGTCTGAACCGGTTGTACATTCGGTTCCTCGAGTAATAAATCACAAACGATATTGCACAGCTCGCGTAAATCATCTTCAGGGAGATATTTACATCTTTTAGCAATCTCAATCCACTTATCAACGTCAGTCATTTTATGTTTTTGGAGAAAAAACCTTATTTTATCAAGTCCACCCCTTCTGATACGAATAAAAAGTCAAAATTTTGACATGTTGTGTGTATGTAGGGACACGAAAAAAGTACCGATACTTTGTGGTATCGAGTACTTTTCCTTTCGATACCGATACTTTTGTACTCGATACTTTGTATTCGATACTTTTACTAAATGAGTACTTTTTGGCAAGTATCGATACCTTTAAAAATTTGGATAAGCGCCTCATATTGATGGCAATGCCATCTTGTTAAAACATAGTAATCCTTCTAAAACGTTCCATAGGGTATTTGACAAGTTTAAGGCAACGATCTCACGTTATTGACTAATGTTTATGGAGTCCGTGAAAAGCGGATATTCATCATTCTGTCGTAACACGACTGTTAATAAAACGTCAAACGATACAATGTAATGTCACTTTGAACGGAAGTTTACTTGCGCGTGACGTCATTTTAGGCTCCGCCAATCCGAAGCGTTTTGGGTCACGTGACAATAGATGAGAAAACTAATACCTTTTTCGGTATTTTGGCACTTTATTTTTAATACTGTCAAATGCCCTATTGCGTTGTTATAAAGTCAGTAACTGACATATTCAAATTCTCTCCAATCTGTGACTGTGTTTATTTTGCGCTTTGTTTTGTTTCATAGTTATTTATTTAGCGACCATATTGTTAGGAACTGTGATTGATTCGCCGTTTATTGTGCTTTTCGCTTGACTATATTTGTTGTCTGTGCTGTGTATACTTATTTGAAACCACCTGAAAAAAAGACGGACGTAACCTCTTCTATAATTATAATCTTGAGTGAAGCATGCCAATGGCAGCCGTTAACTACTTGTCAGATTCAAGTTAACATAAGTGGGTATAATCTTTTTTAATGATTAGAATTCAAGAAAAGTAAGTTTAATTTGAAACAAATCTGAAAAGTTTCATAATTTTAAATTGTTTAAGATTTAGATCTTTTTAATTAACATTTTAATTATGAATGTAATATTAATGAACACTTTTTTAGTGTCAGAAATCACAGCTATTTTCTTTTCATTATATAATATAGCAATTTATGAATTTACATGTCCTTTTTTGTTTCTGATTATACATACAAAAAAGTAAAATTCGATTATTTTTCTTTCAATTTTAACACCGGGAGCTTGGGGGTGGGGAAGGGGGGGGGGTTGCTCATCAGGCCACAGAGGCTCCGATAAGGCCCTATGAAATGTACTCGATACTTTGAAGTATCGATACTTTTTTACCGATACTACTCATAAGTACAGTATCGATACTTTCTATTTGATATTGTGTCCCTATGTGTATGTACTTGTGTAGACATGCGTAGGAATAGCTCCGAACTGTAATAGTTCCAGCAACTATATTCGATACTGGAACGACATCGTTCCTCTCCGAGGTGTTTAAATACAAGTTTATATTTGGTTAAAATATTTTTAAGCATTTAACTGCTAGATTTATAAATTAAAAGAAACCCTGACGAGAGGATTTTTTCCTGTTGTTAAAGTTTTTCATAAATTTATAAACTCCGACTTTGATGAACATTACGTAAGGCAGAAACATATTTACGTTTCGTGGCGTGTTGTCACGCGCCAGTAGCACATCGGTTTTGAGACATATTTACGTTCCATGTCGACTTACAAATGTCTCTAATCATAGTAGATGTAGGAAACCTATGTGCTTCTGGGGCATCATGTCACGGCACGACACGTTAATATGTTTCTGCCTTAAGTCATATAAATTAAAAAGGTGTAAAAATTATGTATGGAATAATGGGACTTCTAAACAGATAATTACAATAAATTAATAGTTTTAAAAACCTAGAAAAACACGCTTTTATAAATGCACGTAAAACCAAAAATAAATCATGAATCGTTCAAGTTGTCGCTATTTCTGGGCTGAATTGTAAACTAATTATAATATTTGATTGTAAAAGCGTGGGGCGCTGGAACGGGAAAGACTTTTGTTTTGCTGAGAAATCAAGATATTAGTAATGCGATATTCATCATTATAATGAATATCTAAGGAAATACTAGTGCTGCAAACAACTCAGTTACTGGAGCGCCAATCTGTGTAACCTGCTTTCCGTAACATAGCTTAACTTGATTTCCCAGCAAGTTATACAAGAAGTCTTTCCTTTTCCAGCGCCCCAAGCTTTTCTAAACAAATATTTAATTAACAGCACATAGTTTACACTTCAGCCCAGAAATAGCGACAACTTGAACGGTTCCATAATTTATTTTTGGTTTTTACGTGCATTTAAAAAAGCGTGTTTTTCTAGATTTTTTTAAACTATTAATTTATTTTATACTTTTTATTCTTTGATAACGAAATATTTTTAACATTTATAGGTACATTAGTTTGAGGAGCTCGACGGCGCAAGTGGTTAGCGCGTTCGGCTGCGATCGTTGAAGTTAAGCAACTTTCGCAGTGGTCAATCATTGGATGAGTGACCAAAAATTAACTATCTCGAGCTCCTTCGTGTTTTGGAAGGCACGTTAAGCCGTTGGTCCCGGCTGCATCTGCAGTCGTTAGCACCCGCCAATCCGCACTGGGCCTGCGTGGTGAGTCATGGCCCTATCTCCCTATTCCATCCATAGGGAAGGCCTGTGCCCCAGCAATGGGTACATTAATAAGCTGATGATGATGACATTTGTTTAAAGTAGGCAAATGAACCCGTTTGCTCTCCATCTCCGCCAGCGCGTCTGTATCTGTATCTCTGTATACACTATGCAGGTGTTTTACCTGTCAGCTTAAAACAATCTAGCTCTTCATTCTGGAGACCTCTAAGTGATTTTACTCTACTTAAGGCCACATACGCCTGTCCAGCCGCAAAAGTACGGGACCCTAAATACACCGCTGCGTGGTCTACCGTACAACCTTGCATATTGTGCACGGTAGATGCCCAACTTAAAATCACTGGCATACTTAGTTACATACAGGTTGACCTAATAAAAGCGTGTTAAAAATAGAGTCCGACCAAAACTGGTTTTCCGACCGAAACTGAAACCGAATATTCGGCCGTGGCTTCAGTTTCAGCCGAAACCGAAACTCACGTGGTCAAGATTAAAATTCCTTAAAATACTGAAATTTGGTGCATTTTACCCATTATTCGGAATTAATTAGGACATGAAACACAGTATATTAATTTTGTTGTAGGTTATCATTTATTAAATATAATATATTTTCCCATTGCTATTTTCCTTCTATATTAACGACATCGGACAGTGTTTGAAATATAGTAATCATCTCCTTTACGCCAAGGCGCTGATCATCGGCACCGACTCCAACGCCCACCATCAATTGTGGGGTATGACGAAAAGCAACAAACGAGGTGAGGAATTAGTAGATTATCTATTTACCACTAACCTTAATATAATAAACACAGGATCTGAACCTACTTTCGTAACAAGAAGGGGCAGATCCATCATCGACCTTACACTAGCATCAAGAAGAGCAGCGGATCTGATCTCTGACTGGCACGTTTCCCCAGAGGCATCCTGCTCTGACCATAGGTGGATTAGGTTCAACATCGCGGTACAGCGTGTCACCCAGCCACCTAGACGCATACCTAGCAAAACAAACAGAAGCCAGTATCGCAGACAGGTAACTCGGTCACTGCGACATCTGCAGTCTGGTAGTTTAGACGAAACTTATAAGATAGACGAAACAGCTGAGGAATTAACAAGAGTTATAATCTCAAGCTATCAGACAGCCTGTCCTCTTAGTACACCATCATCCAACTCGGGTGCCAGCCAGTCTTGGTGGGGTCCCGAGCTGGAAAAACTGAGGAAAAAGGTAAGAAGACTTATTAACAGGGCCATGAATACATGTGACGACCAGGACTGGGATGCGTACAAATATGCCAAGGCACTTTACAAGAGACGCATCCGACATTGGAGCAATGGGTCTTGGAGAAAATTTTGTTCAGATATAGACTCATGCACAAAGGCAAATAAGGTAAGGAAACTGCTATCTAAAGATAGGCAGCAAGACCTAGCACAGCTCCGGAAGGCTGATGGCTCCCTCACAGAAACAACTGAGGAGGCACAGAGGGTACTACTTGAAACCCACTTTCCGGGCTGCATCATACACACGACACATACTTGGAATGACACTAGCTGGACCCCCACGGAACAATCCTGGAACACTGCATTGAAGACAGTGTCTACAGATAAGTTAAGGTGGGCCATTAACAGCTTCCAGCCATTCAAGGCAGCCGGACCAGATGGCATCTTTCCGGCGCTGCTTCAATGAGCAGGTGAAGCACTAATCCTTATCCTGGTGCCCCTCCTGAGAGCGTGTCTTGCATTTAGATACACCCCGAAGCTCTGGAGGGAGGTCAAGGTAATCTTCATACCAAAACCGGGTAAGGCAGACTACAACGAGGCGAAATCTTTCAGACCAATAAGTCTCTCATCATTTCTGCTAAAGACCCTGGAAAGACTGTGCGACAGAGAGCTGAGAGACAACCAACTAGTCAATGTTCCACTACATCCGAACCAACACGCCTATAGTCCAGGCAAGTCGACAGAATCTGCACTACATGCAGTCGTAAGTAAAATAGAGGATAGTCTCAGACGGAAAGAGCTATGTCTGGGCACCTTTATAGACATAGAAGGCGCGTTTGACAAAACAAGCTTCGCCAGCATAGTAGACGCACTTGGCAAACACGGAGTCGATGAGACCATTATATACTGGGTAAGTAACATGCTCCGTAACAGACTAATCAGACTACAAGACGACAACCATCTCAGAGCATTGGCAACTAAAGGATGCCCTCAAGGAGGAGTACTGTCGCCTCTGCTATGGAATGTAGTTGTAAACGACTTAATTACCAAACTAAACAACCTTCACTACCACACGGTGGGCTACGCGGACGACCTTGCAATCATAATTCCAGGTAAGTTTGCGAGCACCGCCTGTGATGTTATGCGGGGGGCAATGAAGGTTGTTGAAAAATGGTGTGACGACTACGGCCTTAAGGTGAACCCTAGTGAAGACGGAATTGGTCATGTTCACGAATAAAAGATCATTAGGCGACTATCGG